GTGTTTAGCATTGATTGTGGTGTGTATTTGTGGGACAATATGTGCCCAATCGGCTCTACAGACAAACTACGAGTACTACACCGCCGGTGGCATAAAGTCGGGACTGAAGGCCGACACACAGGACTTTATACTCAACGGCAAAAAGATAAGCCTATTTAGCGGTTCATTGCATTACTTTCGGTTACCGCAAGAGTACTGGAAGGACAGGCTATTGAAGTTCAGAGCCGCCGGACTCAACGCAGTAAGTTAGCAATAGCTGATATAACTATCATATACTAAATACCTGATCAAAACACTATACCACTTGACCCACAGGTGCAGACATACAGCCCATGGAATCTACACGAAGAGACTCCTGGCCACTGGGACTTCGAGACCGGTGTCCTAAACCTGAGAGCGTTTTTGGATGCAGTCAAAGAGGCCGACATGTTTGTCATGTATCGGATCGGGCCGTATATGTGCGGTGAGTGGGATCTGGGCGGCTACCCGTCGTGGCTGCTCCGGGACCCCCATATGAGACTCCGGTCCAACTATAAGCCACATTTGGAGGCGACGGAAACGTTCTACAAGAAGGTGTTGGCCATCATTGATGAATACCAGTTCACTAAAGGCGGACCCGTAATAGCGATGCAGTTTGAGAACGAGTTCGGAGGCATTCACAGCGCCAACGATAAGGAGTACTTCCAGTTCATGAAGAATACCATTGAGTCCAACGGTTTCAAAGAGTTGCTCACAAATTGCGACTCCTTTGGCACAGCGGCCGACTCCGTGAAGCTCGGCTTTAAAGGTCTGTATAGTGTAGTTGTGTGTAAAGTTATTTAGCAATTTATCGTGATTCATTTTGTTGTACATGTAATAACAATATAACATTGTTGTTGTGTTTGTTTGCACATGTGTTTCACATAGATGTTATTCATATAAATATAAACATTAACAAATAATGGTAATTGTATTAATAATTTCTTATATGTATTGTACAGATGTTTTAGAGACCGACAACTTTAATACCGATTCCCTAAAACTGTTGACCGCGTTGCGTAAGGCGCAGCCCAATAAGCCCCTGTATGTGTCGGAGTTTTGGCCAGGGTGGTACGATTCCTGGGGCGAAAAACAACACCACGTTTACGACGTGAACAAGTTTGAGAAGGAGGTGACGGATGTCTTATTCAACGCCAACTCATCCATCAATTTCTACATGTTTTTTGGCGGCACTAACTTTGGGTTCATGAATGGCGATACTGTGGTCACCAGTTATGATTACGACGCCCCTATATCTGAGTCCGGTATGTGTGCCCATAGAGTAGAGTTAGGCTAGTGCTAGGGTAGTGTTAAATAATTATCCAGGCATTAATTTGATATAAATGTTTTTGTTATAGCATTATCTTAAATGATAATTCCGTAGAGATTTTATTTTATTAATATGTTTTTAGATGTTTTATCAATAGCTAATGTATTTGTATTGCATTTTTCAGGCAATTATACGCCAAAGTATTGGAAAACAAAGGAATTAATAGAAAAGTTTGTTAAAGAAAGAGGTTTACCACAACTATTGATACCCAAACCCCCGGCGGTTCCCAAAGCCAAGGCTTACGGAATCCAATTTCAGCAACTGATAGACAGAGACCTCCTGCACAACTCGTTTTAGTTCGGTTAGCAGTGGCTTTTCGGTTGCGTATACCTCAATAACTTAAACCCTGGTTTAATACCCCAAAACTATGGTTTCATTAACTATAGGCTCACAAACTTACAGAAATTCAAACACTTGAAAATAACCGGTAATTTAATACCAAATAAAGTTATTTTATGAATTGTTATACTAATCAAAGGCGTTATATTGTGGATCACAGGAGGCGCCTCCGATCGGGCGGTTGTGCTCATAGACCACAATCCGGTGGGACTCGTGGACAGCACTAAAGACTACGAACTGGACGTAAATGACTCTCAATTTGCAAACACAACGACTCATACGTTGGATATTATTGTGGAAAACACGGGTCGAGCGAAGATTGGGGGAGGAATTAATACGGCCCGCAAAGGTCTAAACGGAGACGTGACTATCGACGGGAAAATAGAGTCACATTTTGAGACATTTCCCATTGAATTGAAACAACAATTTGTACAACAAATGCAAGAATTAAAGGGAAAGCCATTCGTTGAGGGCATCAAAAGTCCATCACTTTATAGGTTATCATTGGATATAAAGGAGAGTCCGAGCGATACGTTTGTCCGATTGGACGGCTGGACGAAAGGCAATGTGTTTGTCAATGGCTTCAATGCGGGCCGTTATTACTNCTTTATAGGTTATCATTGGATATAAAGGAGAGTCCGAGCGATACGTTTGTCCGATTGGACGGCTGGACGAAAGGCAATGTGTTTGTCAATGGCTTCAATGCGGGCCGTTATTACTCAGTCGGTCCGCAACACACTCTGTATATACCGGCGCCGCTCTTGAAGTCAGGCCTAAACCATATCTCAGTGTTTGAATTGCATTCACCCAAAGATGTCATTCAATTCACTGACACTCCAGACTTGGGACCGGTTTAAAAAATTAATTGTTACAATTACTATGTTTTTAAAAAGTACTAAATCATGAAATAAACTACAGTACTTTAAAATGTTGTTATTTATAATTGCAAATTACATACATTTTGCTATACCTACCTCTTATAACTTCACAATAACTTTAAAAATTAGTTATAAAATGTAATCATTAAATAAATTAATTAAACACAACTTTTTCTCTAAACTTTAATAAAACCTATGTTTCAAATATAATAAAACATTTCTATTTTAAAACTAAATAATTGACTAATACTTGACTGCAGGTGCTCTTACACCCAGCCTATTGGCTCTACCTGTGCCTCTGCCCATCACGTCTCCCACTGATCCTCTTGGCGTTCGTGGTTCGCACGCAACTGATTGAGCAAATGGTAGATCCGTTGGCACTGATAGCGGACACACTCTCTGGGAACCGCTCCTAAGATACCCATTTGTCGGTAACGGGACGCCTGTGCCCGCGGGTCGGCACTGAGAAACCCGTAGAGCTCGACATAAATGTCGTACAGCGCTCGAAGCGCTCGACGCCTGTTCTCCGGAGTGGCCAACACGATGGCCGGGTCGGGCACATCCGGTTCCGGTCGATTCGGTTCGTTCAACTGATAGCCAAACACTATCGGAGAGTGCGGTTCCGCCGGATCGGTGGGCGTCTCGGCCAGTAACTGATTAAATCGGGCGGACGGCACGAAAACAGAGGGCGCCACTTGTCGGCGGCCCAACCGACCCCAATCGCCCCAACCGGTCGGTCCCAATTGGTGCTCGTCGGTGGGTTCTCCCCGCTCCCGGAGCCGCATCCTGTGCAGCACAGTCTCGCGCAGACCCGTCGCGAATAGGCGCCACATTTGGTTCGGCAACCGTTCGATAAAGGCGTTCATCAAATGGACAAACCACTGCTCTTGCGCCGGGCCGATGACCGGGTAGTCGGCCCAGTCTTGAAACACTTGCGGCGCCGGCGGTGCGTCAGGAGCCGACGACGCCCAGACAATGTCGCGCCCGGTGTAGGCGTCGATCACTTGTTGCTCTGTCAGCGGATGCCAGTTCCGAAGGAGCGCTAAAGAGGTCTGGCGGTTGGCCAACATATCCAACACCTCTTGTCTCCACTGGTTTTTGTCGGCGCCGACGGTCGCCAACCATTGCATATTAGCGTTCAACTGATCGCCATATGTAGTGATATTTTGCCTGAGCGCCGTGCTATTGGCCACAGCCAGCGCTCGGCCCCAGTGGTCAAGATAATCGCTGGCCAGCATCACACGATACAGATCCCGGTGCAACTCGCGCTCGTCTTTGGGCGAAATGCGATCCGCATCGAAGTTTGGCGCCGATAAGATGCGTTCAATGTTGGCCTCTCTTCGGGCATTCATTTTTTGTATGTTCTGAGCCCACGTCACCTGCCTCTCGACATCCGGGGGCAACCCCTGCGGCCACACTGGCTCGAGCTCGTCGGCCGTAAAGTTCTGGAGATTGCATTGGCCGAGCAATTGGCGGTAGAGTTGGGCCTGAGTTTCCGCCGTCAATGGTGTCGGCTGTGACCCGACTGTGGGCGACCTCACTGGGCTCCTGTCACTCCGGGGCGTAGATTGTCTCGATCTCGTAGGACTCGGGCCGGGAGACGGCGAGCGCTGAGGGCTGAGTGGAGTCGACGATATGTCACTCAGCGATGCCGACGATATCGAGTCAAGAGATTCGCGTCTCGTGGCTCCGGCACTCGGCGGCGGCCTCGGACTCAGCGTATGGTCAGAGGTGTGGTCGCTGGTCGGCGGCGTCGGAAATTTGGCCACTTTAGAGCGCTTCTCAGCCTCAGACTCGTCTTCGGCGGCGGTCCTCTTGTGGCCGATGTGACCGCTTGAGCCGCTCGGTTGCGACAAATCGGCGCCGGTGTCGGTCCCGGCGGGAGGCGCGCGCGCTGCCTCTCCTATTTCGCGGAGCCGTTGGTTCCAGAGATGTTCGTCGAAATACCGGCGGATTTCGCGCACGCAATAGATCCACCGCTCGAAGAGCTCCCGCCGTTCGGCCGATGTGCCGGGTGCGTCCCGTCGGGCCATTAGCATCCGGATATATGGGCCCAAATTGGCAAAATACATCGTCATATCGTCGCGCGTGGCGTCCGTGTACTCCATTGAGCCCATGTACGGATACGCCGGCGCATCGGTGCGTTCGGTCAATGCCCACAGGTCTCGACCGGTGACCGCGTCGACCACCTGCTCCTTAGAAAAGCCGTAATTGGCCGCTATTTCGGCCAACACTTGTTGACGCTGCGCTAAAGTGCCGGTAGCGTACCGGTCGATGAGTGTCTTGAGTGGGATGTATCGCCGCGCGGCCAACACTGGCCACCAGCGGCTGCGGTAGGCGTGGGTTAACACTTCGCGATACAGCACATTGTATAGGGGGCGCAGCTGTGCGGCAGACCTGTCTTGCGGGCGCTTTAAAGACAACAGTGTCTCTATGTTTGCCTGAACTCTGTTGGATGCGTTGCACACATCCTCTGCCCGTGTTTTAGCGGCGGTCACTTTGGCGGGGATCACACCTCCCGGCCACATCGGCTGGAGTGCCTGTTGGCTGGCGTGAGTCGGCGGAGCCGGAGATGGCGTACGAGTCGGTGATGTGTACTGAAACGGTGATGGCGTCCGAGTCGGTGGTGTCGACGGGACCGGAGATGGCGTTTCAGACGGCGATCTATACCGTAACGGAGATCGCGTCCGAACCGGTGATGTGCGCCCACCGAACGGTGTTCTCCTGGCGCTGGCTCTGCCGGGCGACGACACCCGAGACGGCGGTGGAGTATACTCTTTGGTCGCAGAGCTGGAACCGGTGGACAAACTCGGGCCTGGCATTAGCTGTCGGAGCTGATCAACGCTTGCGAGCAGTCGGTGGTTAAACACGTCGTCGGCCGCTTGTCTAATATCGTCGGCATACGCGGCGGCCATGGCTTCGAACACATGCTGGGCCTCCTGCGGCAGGTGCTGGTAGTCCAACCTCTCTGCGTGATAATCGCGCGGCCCGTTCGCACCCATCAGCCGATTCAGGTCCCGATGGGTGTACGCGTCCAACGCCTGAGCCTCTGTCAAACGTAGGCCTTCGAGACCTTCAACACTCGCCAGGCGCGCCCGCATCCGCTGATCGAGGTATGCCGGGGTCAGCACCGCTGGATTCATTCCACGGCTGTAGTTATTAAAGTTGCCCAAAATCTCTAACACTAGGTCCCCGTGCGCGACGATAGGCGCCATGTGTCCCGGCCTACGGGCGAACAGCACTGGCGCCCAATGGCCCAAATAGTCGCGCATCAATATCTGACGGCACACAAGCTCATACACCCGGTGCCGCTTATCGTCTGTGTAGCTCTCGTAGTTGGCTAGTAATAGGTCGCGCAGCTCCCGGTTGTTAGCTATATATTGTTGTTGGAGAAATCTAGCCCCCTCCTTGGCATCTTCGGGCTCGTACTCTTGCGTCATGTGGGCATAACCTACCCGGCTCAATTTGTACAGGGCGCACAGCTCCGGGTATAGAGCTGCCCGCTCCTCCTGTTGTGCCTGCGATAGGACCAGAAACGGCATGGGCTCGTCCTCTTCGTGGGGCGACACCGGAGACTCTGGTGGGGTATACACTACGGTCCGAGAGCTGGAACCGGAGGGCGAGCCCGGGTCTTGCGGATCGCCCGGCGCCGGACCGCCATTCAGTACATACTGTCGGAGCGCATCAACGCTGTCGAGAAGTCGGCCAATAATCGGCTGATAGTTTGGGACTTGTGCCACACCGTCGGCATACGCGTCGGCCATGGCTGCGAACACATCCCTGGCCTCCTGAGACAGGTGCCGGTAGTCCAACGTATCGCCCTGATAATCGATCGGCCTGTTCGCACCCATCAGCCTATTCAGGTCCCGATTGGTGTACGCGTCCAACGCCTGAGCCTCTGTCAAACGTCGCCCTTCGAGACCTTCAACACTCGCCAGGCGCTGCCGCATCCGCCGATTGAGGTATGCCGGGGTCACCCTATCCGTGTTTAAACCACGCACGTACTGAGAAAACTCGGCCAAAACCCGTAGTAGTAGGACCCAGTGCGCCGCGACAGTGGCCCTGTTGGCCGGACTACGGGCCCTCAGCGCCGGCCACCATTGGAGCAAATAGGCGCGCAAGAATATCTGCCGACACACGAGCTCATACACCCGGTGCCGCTCAGCGTCTGTGTAGTTCTCGTAGTTGGGATTTAGTAATAGGCCGCGCAGCTCAGTGTCGTTAGCGTTATACGGCTGAAAGAGTGCTCTAGGCCTTTCCGTGGCCTGCGCGGCCCCTACGGGCACGGGATCTATATGTATCATGTCTTCGAGCTGGACCGGGTCCAGCTCGTGCCTATCGCATAACTCCTGGTATAGAGCATCCCGAGCCGCCTGTTGTGTCTGCGATCGCGTTTGCATAGTGTGTTTGCTTTTATCCTCCATGAGCTTAGTTTGATCCGCACTTATCTGTACTCACACTTTGTGTTTGCGTTTAAAACATTTGGATTCACTCGAAAGCAAATTTTCAAAATTTTTGTTTTGATTTTTTAGTGTATAATAATTTAGACATTTTTAAAACATTATGTTGTTTTGGACAATTGTTAACAAGTTGAAATAAATAAAATAAATCAATTTTTTTTGTAAAATATACAATTAAATATTTAATTTATTTAATATAACAATATCGAAAGCATGGGCAATTTTATTAATCATTTAATTAAATTAATTAATCTATTCATTTAGTTTATTTATCATGTCCAACAACTGATTATTAATAGACCCTATTGGCCAATGTGTGACTGTGCGGGTGTAGGACAACCATGTGTTATCACCTGCCGATTCATGTCAGTCATACGCTGTCTGTGCAGTAAAGTATGAATGCGTGTCTTTGGGGGCATCTGTGGTAAGTGATAGGACTCGGCGCCCCAGAAGTGGCAATTATGGGCGCCAACAGACGTATTGTCTGACCTACGGCACAGGCACTCGCGAATGGGTCGGCTTTGTTCCCATAACCACTGTATTATACCCGGTCTGAGGGCCCGCCTGTGTTCACGATTCGTCCGAAACAGTAGATCGATGTCATCCCTGTGCCGATCGATGTGATGGATAGTTGGGCTGTTGTCAGCGTAAGGGTTGTCCACCTCGTCATCGGCGGTGTCTGTGAACACACAGTTGTTGTACGCGATGTCCACCAGTTGGCAGTCGATGCCCGACACCCGACACACCCGTCGTTTAATATCGTTAAATGTGGTCACTTCGGGCGCCAACACCAGTAGTCGCACCTCTTTGTCCATCTCTGGCCGCACTCTCGTCACAGACACTGTGATTACTATGGGTTTTGACGGCATTGTTATTAATGAGAGATGTCTTTCAAAATAGGTTTCGATATCTAATAAATAATCATTTATTAGTAAATAAATGTATGCAAAAATATAACTGATACTCATTTCATACCTAATATTACTTTGTTAAATCAAAAATAATTACACGATGTAACTAAATAAATAGCAACTGGTAAATTAATGCCTTGGCAAACAACGTGCTAACACACTAATCATGTACTACCAATGTAAGATAAATATTTTATAGATTATCAAAATGATAAATGCAATATACAAATATGTCAAAATGTAAAGTTACAACAATTATAATCTGTATGCGTTTTCATATATTTCATGTAACAAATTATTTTCCATTCGGTTTAAAGTTTATGTGTAAAATACTGTCAAACCTCGTGATAAGAAACTTACTTTTAAGAACACTTTTGATTTAAAACATACAATGTGTTTACTATTTATTAGGTCATTTGACAATCATCAGGCCTAACTGCCTTCTAGTGTAGATAGAATTATGAAAATTGTATCATAATTTAAGTTCACTATTATAACCTCTAGAAACCAAGTTTCATAAAATTCGCACTAATAGTTATGGCACAGGAATACTTTATATGACACCTGCCAAAATAATGTATTCCTATGGGAGAGTAGCTATTTCGGCATTTATTGACGTGTGATTTTAGACTAAAATTGATCATGCTTAAACAATAATAGAGATAATACAAAACCATTACTTTTCTGAAATCTCCCATATTTAATGAATCTAATGATATGCTATTCAATGGCCAACATTGACCGATACCCCAGCTGTGACCAAATCTTTATCGGTAGTCAACCCGATTGGCGGCCTGTGTTCGGTCGGTTCGCATTTGATTTCCATTATAGTTAATGTCATGAAATCTTGTTAAAACTATTGTCGGATAACTATTTGTGAATATCAATATCCAAATAATCACTTTAATCGTGTATTTTGTAAAAATATTTTAACTTTAAAAATGTAATAATTTTTCACCAAATATTTTTGCACAAATTTGTAAAAGTAATCCCAACTGACACATTTTAAAAATTTGTAGTATAAACATTAATCAACCAATCTTAATGAAACTTCGTTTCTAATGCCTAAGAATGTTAACTTAAATTATGATACCATTTTCATAATTTTATCTACACTAGAAGACAGATAGGCCTGAACATATCCAAATGACCCAATATATTTTATTTAAAGGATGCTTTGCTTGTAATTTAATAAATCTGTTATTTTAATCAATTGTCTATTAAATGAGATTATATTCTTATGCATGAAATTAGTATTTGTTTTGTTAAATATAATATAAGTTAAAGTAAATCACAATATACAGTAACTCATTGTAAATCTCTTTATACATACAAAGAGAGAGAGAGAGAGAGAGAGAGAGAGAGAGAGAGAGACTGTCTTTGGTAAATGTTTTATAAGTTTTATAAAAATATAATTAAATCAGATATTTATTTAATATTGAGTATAAATACACGAAATGTTAAATTTAATTTTGTATTTTTATCATATACAATAGTTTTACTTGCAATTCATGGCAAACATGCTATAAGTAAATATGTTATCAAATAATAAAATCAGTTAATGATAAGTGAATAAAAAATCCAATTTACGGCTAAACATATGAACCTCGCTATAATGTACACTAAATTTTAGTAAAATATTTACAAATTAAATACAAATCTAAATATATGAGGTCAAAAATTACTGTATCATATAGCTAACTATTAAATAATTTAATATCAATATATTTTAACCAGGTATATTTATAGGGAAACAATGGTTTACAATAAATGGTGTAAACTATAGAATCAATATATTTTAGAGTCACAAGAATTGGTTTTATCCTATTTTTATACACAGAATAAGTCTTTTATTTAATATAATATCTCAACGAAAGAAAATAGAAGTGAAGGTGGAGTATAAAAAGGTCAAATTCGGGAATAAAATCGGGAACAAAAACTCACAAAATTAAGCATGTAAATGAAGTTATTGGGTATTTTTGTCGCTTAAAAATGAGTTATAAATTGTATTAAGGTGAATTTCATCATATTTCTATGTAATTTCTATAATTAAGCGGTAAATTAATGTCTCAAATTCTGATTTTTACAAATTTTGCTAATTTTAAAAAATATGTGATCATGAAATCACAATATACTTTTAATATTGTCATTATAAATGTGTTAACTCGTATCATAATTAAAATAATTTCATATTTAATGCCAACATTTATTAGATTTTATATCTAAATATGCTAAATTCTTTATTATTTTTAATAAAAACGGAGTTTTCGGACAAATCGGGAATAAAATATGCCAAAATCGGGAAAATTCGGGAAAATAAAAATGATATATTTTGAAGCCGTTATAACCCTCGAGACTAATGGGATGTTATTCCCGATCATTTGAGTAACTAAATTTAATCGGGAATTCCCGAAAAATAGAGGCTTTACTTACAACTCATAATTTTGGTCAAACCATCGTTTAGAATGATAAATTATTGCAATATTTTATAAAAACCTTTACATTTGTCATAGTTTACTCTATTTAATTTTTTTGCTAACTAACAATTGTAAATTAAGTTGTGATTTTCTTTGTGTTTTATACTAAAATATACCAAAAACTTGAAAAATGTGTCAAATAGTTACTTATTAGGTAATAAACGTTCAAATAGTTACGAACGCCTCAAATAGTTAAATATAGTTAAAATAAACTTTCGGCAAACTGACCCCCAATATATGATCGGTTCACATCCCGAGTCCGTGGGTAATGCTGTTAACCGCTAAAAATAGGTGGTATAGGTAAATGCAATTCCCTGGTAATAATAAATATTTACAATAATTTTTACATTTTATTTTACTTTGTATCAAAAATTCAAATCAAATATTTAACAATAAAAAAACACTTACAAATAATTGTCATATAATTGTCATATTGATATAAACTGTAACTCAATAATTGCACAATTATTTTGCATTTAAAACTATTTGGAACAAGTTAAACTATTGGATTTTGTGATAACTTGACAAATAAATAAATATTAGCTGAAACTTAATTAATATAAAATTTTTTGAGAAAGATATTTAAAATTTATCAAGTTTAATTTGTTCAATTACATTACATATTTAACTAACTGAACTAAAAATAAAAATTAAAAATTTATTTATTATTTATTATTTACAATGTATATTAAAATTGAATATTATTCTACCACAAATTTTTAAATGTTAGCCAAATTAATACGAGTTTGTAATTAATAGTATAATTGTCAATTATTATTTGATTTTAACCAAATATATTACATATTTAACTAGTTGAACTCAAAATATAAATTAAAAAAATATTTATTTAGCTAATAAATATTACTGATTTTATATTTAATAAAGTTAAATATTATTTTACCATTTATTACTTTTACTAGACACTAATATTTAAGAAAGTAGGATACTATTTTTATATTTATACAAACTGTAATTTAATAATTTAACATTTATCTATGTATTAAAAACTATATGTAACATGTTAGATTATTGGGAGTCTAAGAAAGGCCTGATTAATAAATAGATGATTGGTTTTATTTATTTTTGATAAACTTTAAACATTAATTAATTTAATTATAAATAATTTGCCCGGTCAAATAAAAAATATTGTTTAAACATAATTGATAAATCATTCAAATTTACACTAACTTAATACAAAAATAAAATTATTTATAAATTTGTATTTATTGGGTCATTTGGATATGTTCAGGCCTATCTGTCTTCTAGTGTAGATAAAATTATGAAAATGGTATCATAATTTAAGTTAACATTCTTAGGCACCAGAAACGAAGTTTCATTAAGATTGGTTGATTAATGTTTATACTATAAATTTTTAAAATGTGTCGGTTAGGATTATTTTTACAAATTTGTGCAAAAATATTTGGTGAAAAATTATTACATTTTTAAAGTTTAAATATTTTTACAAAATACACGATTAAAGTGATTATTTGGATATTGATATTCACAATTAGTTATCCGACAATAGTTTTAACAAGAATTCATGACATCAACTATAATGGAAATCAAATGCGAACCGACCGAACACAGGCCGCCAATCGGGTTATCTACCGATAAAGATTTGGTCACAGCTGGGGTATTGGTCAATGTTGGCCATTGAATAGCATATCATTAGATTCAGTGAACATGGAAGATTTCAGAAGAGGAATGGTTTTGTATTATCTCTATTATTGTTTAAGCAGGATAAATTTTAGTCTAAAATTACACGTCAATAAATACTGAAATAGCCACTCTCCCATAGGAATACATTATTTTGGCGGGTGTCATATAAAATATTCCTGTGCCATAACTATTGATGCGAATTTTATGAAACTTTGTTTCTGATGCCTACGAATGTTAACTTAAATTATGATACCATTTCCATAATTTTAGCTACACTATAAAGCAGTTAGGCCTGAACATTGTCAAATGACCTAATAATTAATTATTATTTTCCTACTCGTATATTAGTCTAAAGCAGGTATGCGATACATATACGACAAATACATAGATGATTACGACTGATTCCTAAAAGCTGATGATGATACCTACGTGATCATGGACAATTTAGACAATTTTATAGCTCCACACCGACCCCACGAGCCGCTATACTTTGGCTGCAAACTACAGTACCGGGACGTGGTATACATGAGCGATGTGGTCGGCCATGTGCTGAGCCGGGCCGCTGTCAAACAGTTTTTTACTGCCGGTATTGGTAACAATACCGACAGTTGTCGGTGTTTAACCCCCACTGACACCGGTGTTTGTGTTATATAGGTGTTACCACAGGTTAGCTAGATTGTTTTAAAATAAGCAGCTAGATCATAAATTATCAATAAATAATCGAATTTAATTTTTAAAAACAATCATTATAAAGTTAAATAGATAATACTTTCAAGTTTTAATTAAATTAAAATAGATTTAATATTTTAAGCTGTAATATAAATTAAAATTAAACTAGTTATCTAACAAGTATTGACCATGTAAATTTAATTGGTTCACTCCTAAAAAAGACTAAGATTTTACTCTGGTTATCACAAATATAGCATTTCATTTATTTTTGATTGCATAAATTACTTGCAAAAAATTAAAATTGTATATATTAAAAAATATATTTTGTTGCAAAAATATTTTTTTAAATAATTTTCTTTTGAAATAAAAAACATTTGATCTAAAGTTGAAAACAAAATACAAAACAGTAGTTTATTTCCAAAACAAAATGTAGTATAAAAATAGAATAATTAATATATTTAATAAAATATTGATTTTAATAAAATTATCATAATTAATTGAATGTTGTTTAACTTTGCAAATAAAATGTTTAAAATTATAGTAATTTAATAAGTGATTTAATATGAATATGACATTAAATGCTCTAAACATATTTCTATAAATTTAACTGATTCAAATATAATCCAGTTTTTATATTAGGTGACAATTTATTTATAAGCATAGATAATTGGATAAATTGTGAATTACAGTTTATATCAATTATATAAGTCATTTATCATTAAACTGTTCATTTATAAATGTATACTTATAGATTTTAAACAACAATATTGTCGGTTCATTCAAATTATTAAATTTTAAAAATAAATATGTATAAATCAGTAACAGCCAGATGCTCAAATAATTAGACGTGATTTTTTGTTTAAACTTGGCAATCTTTGCAAACCAACCATTAAAAATGTGACGCTTTTTATATTATATTGTACCCTTTAATTAATATTTAAGTATAACTACAATCTCATCACCTATTATTCATGTAACAGCATCTATGAGTCATCTTAAATGTTAGCATAGAATAGCAGTAATTATAATGCATTAGTGCGACATGAATGCAATCTGTGGAAGTACCTGGTATAAATACTTTTGGTATAAATGGCGTTGCTAAAATTTATTAAAATATTTTAATATAATATTTATTTATTTATTTTTATAATAATGATAATAATTAATAATAATAACGGCAATAATCTATACAACAATAATAATTTTTATTAAAAAAGTCCTCAATACACGTGCAAACTAAGTAAAAGTATTTTTAAAAACGCCGGGAATACAGCCGAGAATATTCTGTATGATAACCACGACATACGCCAACCACGAGTCCAAAGCCATACACGTGCGCAACACTTGGGCCAAACGGTGCGATCGGCACCTCTTTCTCAGCTCACGAGACAACGCGAGTCTACCGGCCGTACGGCTGTGCGATACCGACGATAGGGCACACCTCTGGTGCAAAGTATGCATATTTACAAATAATGCCTAAAATTAATTATAATTAAGTATATGATAGGTATATGATAGTATTACTATTTTTATGCCCATACAAACTGTAATATAATAATTGGACGATTATCTATCTATTAAAAACCAGATCTGATATTGTTAAATAATTGGAAATTATGATTTACTAATAAATAGATGATATAGTATATTTATTTGTGATAGTAACTTTAAATATTAATTAATTTTAATTAAATTATAAATAATAGAATTACACGGTCAAATAGAAAACATAGTCTAACCATAATTGATTACAGCATCCAAATTTAAACTAACTGGACACCAAAATATAATTATTTATAATTTTATATTAAATTAATTATGATTTTGCTACTTGTATATTAGACTAATGCAATTACATATTCAATAAATACCTAGATGATTACGACTGTGTCATCTATCATCCGTCATTAATAATCTTTAACGTAAAACTACTCAACAAAATACCGGGAATACAGTCAAAGCCGAGAATATTTTGTATGATAACCACGACATACGCCAACCACGAGTCCAAAGCCATACACGTGCGCAACACTTGGGCCAAACGGTGCGATCGGCACCTCTTTCTCAGCTCACGAGACAACGCGAGTCTACCGGCCGTACGGCTGTGCGATACCGACGATAGGGCCCACCTCTGGTGCAAAGTATGCATATTTACAAATAATGTCTAATATTGATTAATGATGATAATAATATCATATTAATATAAACTGTAACTCAATAATTGCAATATTATTATGCATTTAAAACTATTTGTGTCTAGTCTGTCTATTGGAGCAAAATATGTCATCACTAAATAAATCAATGCTTGTTGATGTTATAATTTTTTGACAAGGCATTTATGAATTAATCAATTTTAATTTAATCAAAAACATTACATAGTAAAATAGTTGAACTAGATTTTAAATTTTTTAATTTATTAAAATTGTACAATTATTTTATTGTATATTATTTTACCACACCATTTCATTAGACTAAAGAAGGTATGCGGTACATATACGACAAATATCTAGATGATTACGACTGGTTCCTAAAAGCGGATGATGATTCTTACTTGATCATGGAGAATTTACGCCATTTTCTAGCCCCACACCGGCCCCACGAGCTCCTGTACTTTGGCTGCAAACTACAGTACCGAGATGTGGTATACATGAGCGGGGGTGCCGGCTATGTGCTGAGTCGGGCCGCTGTCAAGCAGTTTGTTACGGCCGGTATCGGTTATTTTACCGACAGTAGTCAGTGTTTGGCTGGAACTGACACCGGTGTCGAGGACCTGGAAATGGGCAAATGTTTGCAGCATATTGGTGTTACTGCAGGTAAATCAGATTATGTTTTAAATGTGCAGCTAGATCATCATTAATTAATTATTGAGTTTAAATTTTGATATTAAGCATAATAAAGTTAAATAAATTTACTTTTAAGTTTTAAATAGATTGAAACAAATGTAATATTTTAAGCTGTAATATAAATTAAAATTGAACTAGATATTTTATAGGTATTAACTATGTAAATTTAATTGGGTTATAATTGACTAAAATTTAGATTTCATTGCTTTTAAGTTTGTTAATTTTTAATTTTCAGAGTGATTGTGAATAATTTATAAGAAAAAATTTAGTCTGATTTTTAAAAATAAACATAATAAAATTAAATTGATTTATTTTCAAGTTTTAATTTGATTAAGAGAAATTGAAACAAAAATATTTTAAGCTGCAATATAAATTAAAACTTAACTTGATATCTTATAATTATTGGCTATGTAAATTTAATTGGATTCATTAGTAAAGAGTTTATATATTATTTTTATGTCATTTTGCCCTAGGTGATAGTCGTGATAATAGCCAAATGGCCCGATTTCTGCCCTTTGACCCGATGCATATGGTTTTGCCCAACATTGATATCAACCAAATCGCCCCCTGGTTTAAGTCCTACAGTGTATACCCGCACCGGTCGGGCCCCGGGTGTTGCAGTCCAACACTCATATCGTTTCATTACGTGCCAATAAATATAATGTATTTAATGGACTTTTTATTATACCATGTTAATGTTATGCGATAGTAAATATTGTTATAGGGATAGAATAAAATTATCAATTATAGATGTATTGTGGTTAAATATGTATATATAATAATTGAAAATAAAATAAAAGTTATTAAAAACTAATATAATCAAGAAATAATATTTTTATAACTTTTATTTGTACTATAATTGTTAACTATAAAAATTATTTATTATTATTTAAAAATTAAGCACATTCTTTTGATTGCAACAAATTTAATAAGTCATTTAAAATTGACCACATAAATCACAAACTTTTTTAAAATTTAAATTTCATATTGATATAAACTGTAACTTAATAATTGCACAATTATTTTGCATTTAAAACTATTTATGACTAGTAAGACTATTGGAAAGTAACTGGACAGTCAATAAATAAATAAATGTTAATTTATAAAATGTTTTTAAAAAAGGCATTAATGAATTAATTTTAATTTAATTTAAAATATAACATAGTTATATAACCATATTAATATAAACTGTAACTCACTAATTTTACAATTAGTTTGCATTTAATATGATTTATTTTTTGATAAACAATTAACATTAATTAAGTTTAAATTAATTATAAAAAATAAAATTAGGTTTTCAAAAGTATAATTGTAATAATTTAATTTAAACTAATTAAACGAAAACAAAATTAAAATTATTTATACTTTTTATTTATTAAAATTATGTATAATTTGCTGCGTGTATTATACAGCTTGCTGATATATTAGATTATAACGTGTATGCAATATATGAAAAACACCTAGATGATTACGACTGGTTTCTAAAAGCGGATAATTATTTCCCCGTGGTCATTAAAAATTTACGCCACTTTCTGGCCTCACACTCACCTCAAGAGCTCCTATACTTTGGCTGCAAACTACAGTATGAGAGTGTTAAATACATTATGGGTGGGGCCGGGTATGTGCTGAGTCGGGCCGCTCTCAACAAGTTTGTTACTGTGGGTATTGGCAGTAAAACAGACAATAGTATATGTTTGGCCGGCACTGACACAGGGGCTGAGGACTTAAAGATGGGCAGGTGTTTAAAACATATAGGTGTTTCTGCAGGTGAGCTAGATTGTTTTAATATTTGCAACTATATTATAAATCATTTACAAATATTTTAATTTAATTTTTTATGGCTGTATAATAAAATTATAATATAAAGTCTAGATCTAGATCATATGATTAATTAATAAATAATCGAGTTTGATTTTTAATATTAATCATAATAAAGTTAAATAGATTTACTTTCAAGTTTTAATTAGATTGAAAAGTTTTATATTTTAAACTGTAATATAAATTAAAAATGAACTAGATATCTTATAAGTATTGAGCATGTAAATTTAATTGGCTCACTTTTTAAAAATGCAAATATATTACTTTGATTTTATTGTACCCTAGAATAAAATTGTCATTTTAATATTGTCTAATATTGTATAATAGATGTATTCTGTTTATATATGTAATTAATTAATTACTAATTAAATATGAAAAGTATGTATTATAAAGTTATCATATATAATATTTGAAATTAAATTAAAAGTTTAAAAAAAATTTATAGTTTACATATGTTTTAAATTATTACAAATATAATCAAAAAATAATACTTATAAAAATTATATATTAATAAATAAGCACAATAGTCGTTACAATTTATTTAATTGACACAAATTTCACATTTAATTTAATTTTGACTGCATGATTAATTTTGTTAAAAAGTAAAATTTTATTACTTTTTTAAAAATGAAAAAAATGTTAAAAATTGTTTTTTTTTTGCAAATTAGATGACAAAACGTATTAATTTTTGAAAAATGTTTTTCTTTTGAAATAAAAACACATTTATCTAAATTCCAAAACAAAAAACCAAACAATAGTTTATTTTCAACACAATGTGTTTTAAAAACAGAAAACATATAACTTTCAGAAAATATCTAACGAATTCTTAATGTCTAGTATAATAATAAATATTTACAATAATTTTTACATTTAATTAAAAATATTTCTGTTTAAAAAAAATTATCATGATTTTTGTATCAAAATTTTTAATATTATTAAACAATAAGAAAAAATACGTACAAATACTTCTCATATCAATGGCATTGTTATCGCTAATTATAACATTAAAATTAATTGTGTTTAATACTGGCAATAGTCTACTCAACAATAATAATAAACGTGCTCAATACAAACGTGCAAATCATGTAAAACAACACAATAAAACATCGGGAATACAGTCAAAGCCGAGAATATTCTGTATGATAACCACGACATACGCCAACCACGAGTCCAAAGCCATACACGTGCGCAACACTTGGGCCAAACGGTGCGATCGGCACCTCTTTCTCAGCTCACGAGACA